GGCTAGGAGGAGGAGTTGGCCGTCCGACTGCGGTCTGGAGTGTGGGGCCTCCCTGCTGCTGCGGAGTCGGGGCGGTCTGCCTCTCCCCACCGCAGGGTTCGTAGACCCGGTTCGTAGAGTACGCTTGGGGAGTGTGATCGTGTGTACAGCGTCTCTTTATGTCTGTCTCCACGTTGGTTGAGTGTGGAGTGAGTGTATATGAGAGCATGAGGGGGGGAATGGATGTTTGTGTCTGTGTGTGCCTGTATGTCTGTGTCTATATGTCAGGTTGGGTATCAGACACCAAGGTTTGGAGGCCTATCTCCCCCCACCACCACTTCCCCTGCCAGTGGCGGACTCCCTCAGACATCGGTGCGTTGGTGGTTCTTTGTATCTGGGGATGGGCGTCCAGGTACACACCGGCTCACTCCTTGGTGGCCGCTTGTCGGGGCCTGGAGCCTGGGGCTCACTCGGGCCACTTCGGAGGTGGGGTGCCCCCGGCCTCTCGGCCTGGGGCTCGGTCACTGAGGCACAGCTGGCTGCCGGCGGAGCTCACGGGCGCGTCACTGCAACTCCCCCTGGCTTCTGCTCCGCGGCTGCTGAGTGAGCCCTCATCTGGGACTCTCCTCAGCTCTTTCTGGGACAGTGGCGCGGCTGCCCCTCTGTTGGTCTTCCTTGGTCTCTTGTGTTCTGAGGGCCTCTGGATGTCTGGAGTTTTGATATCCTCCATACCTGCTTCATGCCCTGGGGGACGGGGCTGTGGCCCCCCACACCCTCTAGCAGATCATTACATGAAGGAACCTTTTAAAAAAACAAGCGCATCCATGGTCACAGGTGTACACACGGGTGCTCACACAAACAAACTACACCCTTTTTGGCTCCTACCTCAAAGCACACTGTGTTCTGTTGATCTTATGTGCTGCACAATAATGTTTAATATTTAGTATTTACTGTCATATTCCCATATATCATTGTGATGTTGTTTATTCTATTACTCTTGTTTTCTTCTGCTTGTTTTCTTTTTTCTTTCTCAACAGGTGATTCAGGTGATCGATATATGCATTTTTTTTCTGTTTTTCTTCTTCTGCCCGTTCTGTTGGTTTTGTTTTTTGCCCTTCTCCCCCGTCCCTCTTCTCAGCTGTTTCTCTTTCCCTCTTTCTTTCTCCCCTTCTTTCCTCCAGTCAAGTCTGTCCCGTATTCAGCAAGTGAAAATAAAATAAACAATAAAAGGTGAATCAAATGGACCATTATGGCAAGGCTGGGATGGTCAATTTGGTAAAGTAAATCCGTTGGGCATCTTTCTTTGCCTTTAGACAATAATTCTGATGGCAAAAAGAGCCAAACGGGACAGGAAAAAAAAAAAAAAAAAAGAGAACTTTTCCCCAACTCAGCCAATGGACCTCTGTATGATAAGGAATGTCGGCAAACTCTGAATCTATTTCCTGCACAAAAGACTGAAATTTACGGTAATTTAAACCTTTAGCTAGAATACAATTGACCTTTTGCGTTACAGTACTCATTACATGCTCCATTTTTAGGACATTACTACACAGCGTTTGCTGGTGTATGATGCAGTGATATGCTGTTAACTCACCCGTATGTTTCACATCCTGCATCTTTTACTCGAATCCTGCCGAATACTTCTCTTTTTTCACCACACATTGCGGGTGCTCTATCTGTTGTAAGTCCAACAGGTTTGTCCCAGGGCAGACCTGGATGACCTCTAATTTTCTGCTTTTTAAATTCAGATAAAACTGAGGTTATTCAGCCCTGAACATTTTAGAAATATGGTATCTAACCAGATTCTTACTCTGTATGGCATTACCTTGGCCTCCAGTAACACTGTGAGGAACCGTGAAGTAATTTTTGACCAGGATATGTCCTTCAATGCACATATTAAACAAATATGTAGGACTACTTTCTTTCATTTGCGCAACATCTCTAGAAATCCTGTCTCAGCACGACGCTGGAAAACTAGTTCATGCATTCATTACTTCTAGGCTGGTCTACTGTAATTCTTTATTATCAGGATGTCCAAAAAAACTGCCTGAAAAGTCTTCATTTAATCCAAAATGCTGCACAAGAGTACTGACGGGGACTAGAAAGAGAGAGCATATTTCTCCAGTACTGGCTTCTCTTCATCGACTCCCTGTTAAATCCAGAATTGAATTCAAAATCCTGCTCCTCACATACAAGGTCTTAAATAATCAGGCCCTCATCTTATCTTAATGACCTTGTAGTACCATATCACCCTTTTAGAGCACTTTGCTCTCACTCTGCAGGCCTACTTGTTGTTCCTAGAGTATTTAAAAGTAGAATGGGAGGAAGAGCCTTCACTTTTCAGGCCCCTCTTCTATGGAACCAGTTTGGATTTTGGAGACAGACACTATCTCTACTTTAAAGTTTAGGCTCAAAACTTTCCTTTTTGCTAAAGCATATAGTTAAGGCTGGATCAGGTGACCCTGAATCCTCCCTTAGTCATGCTGCTGTAGGTGTAGGCTGCTGAGGGATTCCAATGAGGCATTGAGCATTTCTTCTTCAGTCACCTTTCTCACTCACTATGTATTAATAGACCTCTCTGCATTGAATCATATCTGTTATTAATCTCTTTCTCTCTTCTGTCTTTATCCTGTCTTCCTTCTCTCAGCCCAACCGGTCGCAGAAGATGGCCCCGCCCCTCCCTGAGCCTGGTTCAGCCAGAGGTTTCTTCCTGTCAAAAGAGAGTTTTTCCTTCCCACTTTGGCCACAGTGCTTGCTCATAGGGGTCATATGATTGTTGGGTTTACATCTGTATGTATTATTGTAGGGTCTACCTTACAATATAAAGTGCCTTAAGGCGAATGTTGTGGTGATTTGCCGCTATATAAATAAAATTGATTTGAACCGAATTTTCTCCACAATAGATGTGTGTCGTTTGTCTTCAATGATGAGGTATCTGGAGACTGCTGTCTTCAAAAGTGTTTTGTCATGCTCAATGATGTTGTTTGACCACTGTCACTTTTCTGCAGCCATTGGTATAGCTAATTTGATTCCACCCCATGTTTTATAGGCAATCTGAGTTTGGTTAAGTCACCCTAGCACTAGTGGTTTTAACTTAATCCAGATTAATTTAGTACAAGACTCAATAGTCCAGGTGGTAGTAATCACTGTGTTTCAGAAAGGGGATTATCAAGAACTGATTAACAATTATAGATTATATAGACGCATCTTTGTTCCCTACAAGAATTATGAGGAAACACTACACAATGTGTTACTCTTCTATCACTCCCAGTTTCAACATTTTGCCCATTTTCTTCTGAACAATTTGCCTGTTGTGCTCGAGTCAGGCTATGAATGCATTATCACCCCAGGCTGCATTTCAAAATAGCACTCTATAAGCAAAGTAATGTCAGGCAGGGGGGAGAACAAATGTGCAAACCGCTGCAAAATTGAGGTCACTTTTTCTTTTGTTAGATTAACAAGTTCAATGCGGCTCCCTATGTGGATGAGAGCAAGTGGTTCAGAAGATGTGGTAGATTGTGGTGCTTGGTCTTTCCCCCAGTGGTAGGACATCTATGTACATTCTGATTAAGTTATGAAGTTTATGTGAACTTATTAGCCTTATGATTTTACAACTGAAACTTGTGTAGATATAGGACCAAATGGCATCAAATGGTTTGACTGTATAGTACAACATACCCCAAAACTTCAACATTTACATACTGACATTATATCTTAAGCTTTGATTTTTACTTCTTCAAGAAGCATGTCTCCTTTCTTAATTTGACTGATCTCACATATGGTGGAATTATATAATGTCAAGTCTGAGAGCACCAGTGATTCCAGAAAATAAAGGTGACAGTAACTCATTAGATGATCACTTTTAATTAAAAACTCTTTCATGCACCTTATTTTCTGAGACTTTCTCTCGCCATTTCTTTGAGGACTCTGTGGATTTTTCCTTCTTTTATTTCATAATCTTAATTCGCTTCCCCAGAGGCTCTGCCTGTATCTTTTCTTCCTTCCTTTTCCTTTTGCCGCTCATCTTCTCCTGAGGATCTGCCTGTATCTTTTCTTCCTTCCTTTGCCTTTTGCTCCTCATCTTCTCCAGAGGCTCCTGCTGTACTTTTTCTTTTCTCTTTTCTACTTTGGCTTCACTCTTCATCTTCTCCAGAGGCTCCTGCTGTACTTTTTCTTTTCTCTTTTCTACTTTGGCTTCACTCTTCATCTTCTCCAGAGGCTCTGCCTGTATCTTTTCTTCCTTCCTTTGCCTTTTGCTCCTCATCTTCTCCAGAGGCTCCTGCTGTACTTTTTCTTTTCTCTTTTCTACTTTGGCTTCACTCTTCATCTTCTCCAGAGGCTCCTGCTGTACTTTTTCTTTTCTCTTTTCTACTTTGGCTTCACTCTTCATCTTCTCCAGAGGCTCTGCCTGTATCTTTTCTTCCTTCCTTTGCCTTTTGCTCCTCATCTTCTCCAGAGGCTCCTGCTGTACTTTTTCTTTTCTCTTTTCTACTTTGGCTTCACTCTTCATCTTCTCCAGAGGCTCCTGCTGTACTTTTTCTTTTCTCTTTTCTACTTTGGCTTCACTCTTCATCTTCTCCAGAGGCTCTGCCTGTATCTTTTCTTCCTTCCTTTGCCTTTTGCTCCTCATCTTCTCCAGAGGCTCCTGCTGTACTTTTTCTTTTCTCTTTCCTACTTTGGCTTCACTCTTCATCTTCTCCTGAGGCTCTGCCTGTATCTTTTCTTCCTTCCTTTGCCTTTTGCTCCTCATCTTCTCCAGAGGCTCCTGCTGTACTTTTTCTTTTCTCTTTCCTACTTTGGCTTCACTCTTCATCTTCTCCAGAGGCTCCTGCTGTACTTTTTCTTTTCTCTTTTCTACTTTGGCTTCACTCTTCATCTTCTCCAGAGGCTCCTGCTGTACTTTTTCTTTTCTCTTTCCTACTTTGGCTTCACTCTTCATCTTCTCCAGAGGCTCTGCCTGTATCTTTTCTTCCTTCCTTTGCCTTTTGCCGCTCATCTTCTCCAGAGGCTCTGCCTGTATCTTTTCTTCCTTCCTTTGCCTTTTGCCGCTCATCTTCTCCAGAGGCTCCTGCTGTACTTTTTCTTTTCTCTTCCCTTCTTTGCCTTCACTCTTCATCTTCTCCAGAGACTCTTCTTGTATCTCTTTCTCCTCCAGTTGTTCTTTATTTTAAGAAAATAATCATTTACTTACTGATTAACTTAACATTGTTCATATTGTGCAATATAATGTTAATATTTACCTGAGGTTATTATTGCTGCAGATGACACTCCACTTTGGTCTTTCTTGTTGTTATCTAAGACCATATGAGAAATAAATAAATACCACTCCACCTTAAAGTTCTTTGAACTTGTGTATTTTTACTACAGCTGCTGGTTTCCGGTTACCAGATCTTGGTATTGTGTCTTCAAAGAGAGTTGACTGATGAAAAGTGAGCCTCTTCAAGCATCTGGTTTGGTGAAGCACCCTTTTTTCTGAACTCTTATTCACAGTCTTTGCTGTGTCTTGGCTTACATAGGCCTGCTGCATCTGAAAAATGATGATCGACAAAGAAAAACAAGGTTACTTTAGCTCATCTAGATGTAATGTTCAGATTTGTTATGTAACAACTGGAATTTGGTGTTGTAATCGTAATGAGCTCATCGCCGTTTCCCTGTCCTGTACATATAAAACACAGAAATGCAAGAAGAAGAAAAAAATTATAAATCAGTTTCATGTTGGTATTTATGGTTTTAGAAACAAATCAAACTGCAAGGAATGAACTTTAGCCCCCTATTTGTGAGTAAAAGCATTTTGTAATAGTGCACCACTATAAGTGCCTGTGCTGATTTGTTAGCAAATAGTTTTTGGACCGTCCAAGTCCTCAGAACTCACTGCTGGTATTATACATACACCAGCACGATCATTAGATTTACTGCAGCTTTCTACTCCTCCTCATGACCTCACTAAAAATGGACTGCAGCTAACTCACCTCTTCCTCAAACACATCTTTTCTGAATTGTCTTTGAATTTATCTGGTGAAGGCTTCCCATTATGTTCCATCCTCTTCGAATAAGCTGAGTTCTTCTTCTTCTTCTGGCTCCTCCCTTTAGGGGTCACTATAGTGGATCATCTGCCTCCATCTTATTCTATCCATAGCCGCCTCCTCGTTCATACCAACCCTATCTATATCCTCCATCACTATATTCACGAACTTCTTCTAAGGGCTTGCTCTTTCCCTCCTGCCTGGCAGCTCCATATGGAACAATATATTCACTATGCCTCTTCTACATATGTCCAAATCATGTCAGCTTTGCCTCTCTAACTTTGTGTCCAAACCACTCAACATGAGCTGTCTCTCTGATGCACTCATTTCTAATCTTCTCCATTCTGGTCACTCCCAAACAAATCCTAGCTTGAGCCCTGCCATCCCCTGCCTGGCCTTTTGCACTGCTTGTTGCTTCGGATGCTTGACTCCAGGTATTTAAACTCATGTACCTTCAATACCTTTACTCCTTGCATATTTCATATGAGCTGACCATCTGACGTCAAAGAATACAAAGACATATTTTGTTGAATGCATTGAAACTGAGAACAAATTTTACCTTTTCCGTGGCCACTTTGTGAATCATTTGTCCCAAATGTTCTGCTTCATCCTTTGAATCATCTTTAGATTCATCCTGTGTGGGTCTGCTATCATGTGTCCCATCCTCTTCAGATGCTGCCGCCATCTGTTTTCAGAGAAGACAACAATATGTTTGGTCATTTTGATAGATAGATTGTGGAAGCACTTAAACTGAGGATGAATTTCACCTCTCTTTGTGGCATAGGACACCCAGTTTTGTTTTTCTTGGCTAACTTAGGAATCCTTTTACGTTCTTGTTCTTCCTCCTCTTCTGAATAGCCTTCAGATTCATCCTGTGTGGGTTTCCAGTCATCTGTCCCATCATCGTCAGATGAGCTAACAGACTGCTTTTAGAGCAGAAAAAAATATATTTTACTCATTTTTCATGGATGTTTGGAAACAAAACACTTACACCTTTAACTGCAGGAGAAGAAACTCTGCTGGATTTTTCCTGCCCACCTTAGGAACCCATTCCCTCGCTTCATCCTCCTCCTCCTCTTCTGGATTGTCTTCTTGTGTGAGTTTCCCCACATCTGTCCTATCATTTTTGTAAAAGACCACCATCTGATTTTAGAAAAGTAAAAAGCTAAAAGATTAGTAATCAGTGAAAACACTAAAAACAAGTACAAGAACATACATTACATACTTTTCTCTTGCGCAACTGGTATGTCACTTTTTGTAGATGCTCCACCCCCTTTTTCAAATCCTGTTTAGTTTCTCTTATTGTGGCTCCGGCACTACCGGCACCCTCACCCTGACCTGGGCTCACCATCTGTTTATGGTACAAATTAAATATGTTTTGTTCATGATGGAGTAAATGATTATATATGAAAGAAGTGCAACCAATCAAAACTCTTACCAAGGGAATCAGGGCACACATACCTTGTTACTGCTACACTGGAACAGCGTTCTGTCTAAAAGCTCCTCTGTTCCTGATGACTGCTGCTCTTCCTTGTCAGATCCTTCACTGTCCTCGTCCTGCACAGATCCTCTGTCCTCTCTCCTTTTGCTGCATATTTTGCAATTGCATTGGTGGTCAGTGCTCGGCTCTGGAGTGTGTCCTCTGCAGGGTCCTCAGCTGTACAAAGCAATATTACTAAATATGAATAAATGTAAGTGTATAGATAAATATATGACTTCACTTTAGCTTATTTAAATAACCTTGATAAAATCTTTTGGCTGTGATGGCAGCATGGCACATAAATGTTGCCACTCTGTCGTAAAATTTACGTCCCAACTGTCGCTTGGCCTGAAAGAATAATGTTTTAAAAAGAAACCACATGAATAAAACCCATGACACTTTAACCTACTTCAATGTGTGTCAAAAAATAAAAATGAAAGGTTTTCTCACGTAAGTGCTACAGGAGGAACGTAGCATGTTGAAGGTGGGGGCAATCCCCAGATTCATCATCTCCCAGGCTGCCTTGAAAAATACCGGTAGTCTATGAAGAACACCTCCACTAGAACTGTGGAAAAAAGTCGGTGCCTCCGAACAGCCTTCAACATACTCTGTGATATGATGGTGACGCTGCAACCAGGTATACTCATTCTTGTACAGGGGGACAGCTGCTTGCCCATGGTATCTTTGAGTTTTGTGCTGTTTAACCTAATACATGAAAAGACATGTGTTAGGTTTTGTATTGTTTATTGTCATTTATGCTTAGAAATATTTACTTATGTATGCTTAGAGTTTTATAATTAGTTTTAGATTGGTAGAGGTTTGATCCTTGATAGTCTGCAAACTTTGTGTGCATTAGAGAGCACTCTGGGAGCATGGGAGAGGTCGTACCTTCTCTTATTGTTTTATAGTAGGATAAACGTGGCTATATCTGTTTTAGGCTAAGTGCCTTTTGTTTAGATGAACTGTTGGACTTCCAGACCAGCAGGTTTAGGGAAGTCACACACACACACACACACAGTATTCTTTGTTCACATGTATACCTATGTAAGATGTTATATGTTAATGACCCTATGCATATTCATGTCACCACAATAAAAGGAGTGCTATGGGGACCCTGGCTGAGAGTCTGACAGGGGTCAAGTGATGGAACGACACTTGACTCCAGGCAGGTCTCCCCTCATGCATGAGTAACAAGAAGAACTTTGCCTACTTGGTGTTCAATGCTTTTGCTGTGTAATTATATTGTCTTCAACGTTCCAGAGAATAGGTTCAAGCTACAAACCTATCAACATGTTTATTCAGCTGAATAAAAAAATGTCTATGTATACTTAGATTTATATAGTTTTAGTACATACACGGATGATGCGACCACCCTGCTTAGTTTTTTCTGCCATGTCAACCTCCTCAGTAGTCATGTTGATGATCACTCCCTTTCGGTGGCCAGTTATGGCAATAATATATCCGCCCAACAGTCCAAAAAACAATTTTACTATTGATCTGTTCTGGGGTTGCTTCTCGAGGTAATCTGTAAAAGCACAAAGAGAATACTGTATGTATCAATATGCTATGGTAACACATACACTGCATTTACATTTACATGTTCAGTCCCTTTGTGCCGATTATAGAGGGACTTTACAAGCACCATGTCTCAAGGACCAAAGGTCAAAGGTCTTAAAATATAAAACATATGTAATAAAAAATGATCAGAGTGGTAAAAAGAGCTTTTCTCACTTTTCCTAATTATAAAGTAGTTTTATTCTTAATCTAAGAGAAATCACAATGTAAATCTGATCAATATATAGATAACAAATGCAAAAGTGTTTGAGTAGTACAAATGGCTGCTATAATGACTGAGTCCTCTGTGTGTGTGTGTGTGTGTGTGTGTGTGTGTGTGTGTGTGTGTGTGTGTGTGTGTGTGTGTACACATGATCCAACTTCAAGCTAGGCAGTTTTGTGTGTGTGTCTGAAGGACAACAGGAAAGTAAGAACTGTGCCACCACCTCGTCACACACATAATCCAGAATACATAAAACAAATGAAATGTGTAAGTTAACCAGTGTAATGAATCAGAGAATAGAATAACAGTGATTCTAATAACAGGCCTCAGAGTGTCTGACCTTGGTGTGTGTGATGTATGATGTGACACAGTGGAGCAACTAATCTCAAAGAATATCTGATAAACAAAATGTATGTTTTCATAAAAAAAAAGGTTGCATAAAAAGTAAAGAAATAAATGGCAATTAACTGAATTCTAAAAAGCATTTGAATTGAAAATTGGATTATGTTACAATGAATGTTCATGTGAAAATGTCCTAAAGACAAATCTAACTGAAGTATAATCACATAAACTGAATGAAACAAAGGGCATTACATCCAGATGTGATAGAATGTAAATTCCTTATGTTAAGAATAACAATGAAAATGTAATGAAGTGTTTTACAAGTTTAAACATTTTTTACTTTTTGTTAAATCTTGTCAGATAGATAGACATTGATAGATGAGGTGTGGGAAGATGTGACGTCCGGCAGGAGAGGGGGAGGAAGGGTGAGAAGGTGAAAAAGTGAGGTAAAGAAAAGATTTTTGTCTTCTGCAAGATGAGCAGCCCAAAAGATTGGATCGAAGGGGTTCACAGTTGAAAACCTGTCCAACCTGTGAATTCATTCCTTTTCTTCTGCTCATTGTTGCTGTGTTAGGCAGTTAATTTAGAAGGATTTTGATTTACATCATACTTCCAGTGGATGCCCAGCTGCTTGCTCATCCTTCCTCCAACCTCTCCTCACCAAAGAAAAGAACAAACTCAACATTACCTCAGAGCAGCTTAGTTGTATAAGTAGAGTTTAAGTAATCTGATTATTTTGGGGGGATTTTTTTTTCTCTTATGCCTTTAATAAAATTTCCTGCCATTAATGTCTAAATTGTGGACACGTTTTATGAAACAATAAAGGTAAAAGTCTTAGTATTATTCTTTATAAGTGCAAATAGCTCTTACACTTTGCTCTAGCCATAATAATGAAAATAATCTTTCCAATCATTCCAGAAATAACAAGATCAAAATGTGCAGGGCTCCATCTTAATGCAGAGCTGCACATATTTCACTGCGATGGTGATGTGTTTTAGCTCTGGCTTCATGTGCATTACATTGACCAAGCTGCACATTATTCTTCAATTTAAACTGGGCATCAGAGAAACGTAGTCATCAGACAGAAAAGACATGAAATCCATTTCAATGTGTGGTTCACATTGACTGTGTCAGCTCCCAAACAGACAAAAAACAAACTAAAAACCAGCAATAAACAACTAAAACATAAAAAAAAAATCACAAAGAAAGAGCAATACAGTATCCATACCTGAACCAAAGAGTAAAACAGTGAAATGTGGATTATTAAATATTAGGTCTCTCTCCTCCAAGTCTCAGTTAGTACATGACTTAATAATTGATCAACAAATTGATTTACTCTGCCTTATATAAAAACCTTGTTGCAGCAAGATGATTAGGTTAGTTTAAATGAATTAACACTCCGGAGTTATTCTAGCTACCAGAAATCTCGAAGCGCAGGCCAAGGGGGTGGTGTGGCAGCAATTTTTCACATCAGCCTATTAATTAACCAAAGACCAAGACAGACTTTTAATTCATTTGAAAGCCTGATGCTTAGCCTTGTCGACCCCAGCTGTAAAATTCAGAAACCAGTCTTACTTGTTATCATATATCGCCCACCTGAGCCTTACACACAGTTTCTCTCTGATTTCTCAGACTTTTTATCTGATTTAGTGCTGAGCTCCGATAAAATAATTAGTGTGGGTGATTTTAACATCGATGTAGATGCTAAAAATGACAGCCTCAACATGGCATTTAATCTGTTATTAGACTCAATTGGCTTCTCTCAAAATGTAAAAGAACCCACCCACCACTTTAATCACACTGGCATAGAAACTGAACATTTAACAGTGTTTCCTCTCCTGTCTGATCATTTCCTGATAACATTTACATTTACAATAATTGATTACACAGCAGAGGAGAGTAGACTTTATCACAGTAGATGTCTTTCTCAAAGCACTGTAACTATGTTTAAGAATATAATCAACTCTTAGTACCATTGAATGTTAGACTCTATTTCTCCAATTGATCTTTCTGAGTTAACTTCAATAATTACTTACTTACTTCAAACCATCAACGTGTCTTTTAGACCCCATTCCTACAAAACTGCTCAAAGAAGTCCTGCCATTAATTAATTCTTCAATCTTAAATATGATAGGACAATCTCCAAGCTTCCTTTCATATCAAAAATCCTTGAAAGAGTAGTTGTCAAAACGCTAGGAGATCATCTGCAGAGCAATGGTTTATTTGAAGAGTTTCAGTCAGGTTTCAGAGTTCATCACAGCACAGAAAAAGCTTTAGTGAAGGCTACAAATGATCTTTTTATGGCCTCTGACAGTGGACTCATCTCTGTGCTTGTCCTGCTAGACCTTAGTGCAGCGCTTGATACTGTTGACCATAATATCCTATTAGAGCGATTAGAACATGCTGTAGGTATTACAGGTACTGCACGGCAGTGGTTTGTATCATATCTGTCTAATAGACTCCAATTTGTACATGTAAATGGAGAGTCCTCTTCACACACTGAGGTCAATTATGGAGTTCCACAGGGTTCGGTGCTAGGACCAATTCTGTTTGAATTATATCTGCTTCCCTAGGCAGTATCATTAGAAGACATAGCTATGTCTATGCTATGCTATGCAGATGACACCCAGCTCTATCTATCCATGGAGCCAGATAACACACACCAATTAGTTAAATTGCAGGAATGTCTTAAAGACATAAAGACCTAGATTGCCTCTAACTTTTTGCTTCTTAGTAAAGAATAAAACTAAGGTTATTGTACTTGACCCTGAAAATCTTAGAAGTATGGTATCTAACTAGATTGATACTCTGGATGGCATTACCTTGGCCACCAATAACACTGTGAGGAACCTTGAAGTAATTTTTGACCAGGATATGTCCTTCAACACACATATTAAACAAATATGTAAGACTGCTTTCTTCCATTTGCGCAACATCTCTAAAATTAGAAATATCCTGTTGGCAGAGTGACGCTGAAAATCTAGTTCACTTCTAGGCTGGTCTACTGTAATTCATTATTATCAGGATGTCCAAAAAAACTGCCTGAAAAGCCTTCAATTAATCCAAAATGCTGCAGCAAGAGTCCTGACAGGGACTAGAGAGAGAGAGCATATTTCTCCTGTTTTGGCTTCCCTTCATCGACTCCCTGTTAAATCCAGAATTGAATTCAAAATCCTGCTCCTCACATACAAGGTCTTAAATAATCAGGCCCCATCTTATCTTAATGACCTTGTAGTACCATATCACCCTTTTAGAGCACTTCACTCTCAGACTGCAGGCCTACTTGTTGCTCCTAGAGTATTTAAATATAGAATGGAAGGCAGAGCCTTTAGTTTTCAGGCCCCTCTTCTATGGAACCAGCTTCCAGTTTGGATTCGGGAGACAGACACTATCTCTACTTTCAAGATTAGGCTTAAAACTTTCCTTTTTGCTAAAGCATATAGTTAGGGCTGG